TTAGTGGGCTCAAATCCAGCCCCCGGGTAGGCATGGTACCCCTGTACGAGCCCGCCAAAGTTTTTTTTTTGGGTAAGTTCAAAACTCGGGGATCTGAGAAGCTAGAAGGCTGAAATCTTGGGGTAATGTTCCCCGCCCAAGCGCTATTGGTGGGCTCAAATCCAGCCACCGAGTAGGCGTGGTACCCGCGTACGGGCCCCTCAAAACTTCTCCCGCGCAAATTCATAACTCGGGGTTCTGAGATGCTAGAAAGCTGAAATTTTAGGGGAATGCTGCTGCTGTCAGCAGCAGCTGGCAGCAGCAACTGCCGACAGCAACAACATCTGACAGCAACAGCAGCAGCAGCTGACCCCGTCCACCTAAGTTTCATTCAGCCCATGAGAAGCTAAAGGAATGTAGTTTTAAGAGGATATACCCCGTCCACCTAAGTTTCATTCAGCTCGAACCCAGCTCTCAGAGTATGCTTGGTAAAGATACACGGGCCCGTGAAAATTTTGTTCCAGTAAGTTGCTAACTCAGGTGCCAGGGAAGCTAAAAAGTTGGAATTTTAAATGGAATGTTTTCTCGCAGTTCTGGTGGTCAATCTTAATTTGTTCAGCTTAAAGCATTTGCCGAAAAAACCGGTACCTGTAGCAACAGAAACTGCGGGGAACCATGCAAAAAAAGCATCTTCGCACGGGCAGCCCATGCGTTGGCCAATTATTTTAATTAGGTAATAAATTGTTGCTAGCGTTTCAGAGTTAAACTTGCCATCAGTTTTCTCTTGACGATTGTTGAACGAGCAGGTCATTAATTGCCTTACTAAACGTGATTGTTGTTGCTATATGCTACCATGTAAGCTAGTGTCTCACCCTCATGTAGAAATCAGGAAATCAGTGAGTATTTTGTTTTTTGAAGTTATTTTTAGCCTCACTCATTTCACTTTTTATTAAATGTATTTTACGAGTGTTAAATGATTTCAGAGGAAAGAAACGGAAGTTCAAGTTCGGGAAAATCGAAAGAGACCGAGACTGCTAGCAAAGCAGCTGGTGAATTAGAATCCGAGAAAAGCGGACCGATGCTGCCGGACGAAGGCAGTTCGAAAAAGTTCTTTTCAGATGTCTTTAATAACGAATTATTTGGGGCATTATTGGAAAAACGCTTGGGAATTCCCATAATAATAATAATAACTGTGGGAAACAATATTTATTACCGGAAATTATTGTTCTGTAATTATTGGATACTAATTATTGTGGGTTAAATTTCAGTGGTTTTAAAATGTCTAAATCAAATTAAATTAGAGTTTTTTCTTTAAAAAAAAAATGCCTATTTTGGAATATTGTTTGCCGGACTAGAACTGTACAAAATTACATGAAATTTTGGAATTTTTACGATTATTTCACAGATTTTGTGCTAAATATATATGTTAAAAAAAAAAAAAAAACGACTATGTTTATTACTTTTCAAATATATTAAACAACATTTTCAGAAGTGAAAGAAAGCAGTTGAATGAAAATGACGTTGTTGTTTTGGACGACGAGCCGTTGTTCATGGCCGGTGAGGATTTGTTGATGGATACCCCAGGTATGAATTTTATTTCATCTTCAGCTGTGCACCATTGTTATCATTTATGGTTATTTTCTTAAGGATTATATGTATAAAGACATATATATTTTCTTATCAGGAATTATAAACAACATAAGTTGTTGACATTACGGCAAATGTGATTATGACAAACAAATGGTTGACGGTTCTTGCCCATCTTACTGAGATAGTTGCTATGTGTTTTCTTGTTTAAAAAAAGCAGAATAAAAGAAAATTAGGCGAACTCAGTACTGAGAGTTCTTTTTGCATTTTTTCCGTTTGCAAGAGGAATTTCTTCCACGCAGATTTTCTCCACTTCTGTTCCATTCCAAGGATTCGCTCTAGAAACATTTGCCGCATCAGGAAGATGAAGATCTGAAGTGATGAAGGCCATGTGCCCTTGACAGCGGGTAAAAAAAAACCTTCGTAGCATTCCCATATTTCTCTATTTTTTTGATCCCTGCAATCCTTCTTGCCCTGCAAAAAGCCACTATTATGTTCCGGAACAGATGCGATTTTTGCCAAACTGTTGTGCTGCTCGATTTTTCCTCTTTAGCTTTACCAACTTCTGTTTTTTTTTCCAAAAACTGTAAACTTCTGTCATATTTCTTCTGAATTGCTTTCTCGCATACTTCGGCCCCTGTTATCTGCGTCAGACATTTTCGGTATTTTCCGTACAGTACCGTGGTTTTTGGGTTTTCCAATCGTGCTTGCTGCGACAGTAACTTTGCATACAGTGGGATTTTTGAACAAAACCCATCGATATTTACTCCGTACGAGAAGAGGCTGGAGCATGCAGCAGTAACTCAGGCAGTAGCATGTGTTCAACAGCAAACACCATTCATAAGGGGTTTTTATGGTTCTCTTCCAAAGATTGCTTGCAAGTAAGCTGTTGACGGGTAGCAGTTTGCCCAATGAAACATAGAGGAAATAAAAGCACTAGCGCTCAGCACACCAGAAGCGCTATTTGCCATTCTATCAGGCCTGCTAACAACAGTATTATTATTGTTATTATTATTGCCATTATTATTATTGCTATTATTTATTTTATTATTATTGTTATTATTATTGTTGTTATTATTGTTATTGTTATTATTATTGTTGTTATTGTTATTGTTATTATTGTTGTTGTTATTATTATTGTTGTTGTTATTATTATTATTATTATTATTTATTATTATTATTATTATTATTATTATTATTATTATTATTATTAT